CTAAATCATGCAAGTAAATTATTATAAATAATTATCGTACAGATAAATGCTAATGCTGCCTAATTCGACTGTAATTTGCTTTTTTACAAATATGAATTGCAGTCAGAAGGAAGCATGTTAATATTCATATGATATGTGTGTATATATATTCTTGACTCTAACGAGCCTTGCCCGTCCGGCGAGAAAGAAGCACAGCTGAGTACAGGGTATCCCTTGATCAGTCACTCCCGACTAGACCACACTTACTTGCATACAAAAATGTGACTTGATTTGGGGATAGCTTCGGCAGTTTCTAGGCTTGGTTTGAGCCGGCGAGTATCAAAGCCGGTTCAAACCCATGTTCTATTAAGAGTGTAAAATCTACCGACGAATATTATTTCTCAATTTTATCCTTTCCATAAGCTTTGCAATTATATCTGCTGGATATATATTATATTTTCTGATCTTTTCGGAATATGCATTCAAGTTTTTTCTTTCCATGCCCTTGATCAATTTTTGCATCCAACTCAATTCAACGCAAATTTGCGTGTGGCTTTTGTCGTCATTTGAGTCACGTACAAGCTGCAATAATTTGCAACACGTTCGCCCAGCAAGTGCATGCACATCAGCAACAGCAGCAACAACAGCAACAACAGCAACAACAACTAGCAGCAGCAAGCAGAAACAGTTGATGCTGCAAGCGTATTCTAATCGAACCGACAGATGCGGCGGCTGGGGCTATAAATTGGCAAACCAGAGCCTGACCAGAGCAATCAACACCTGTCCAATGAGCCACAACAACAGCAACAGGCTACAGTAACAGCCAACAGCAACACCCAACAGCCACAAGCGGAGCCCTTTCAACGCATAATTTAACGCTGAGATATGAAGGCTGAGCGGGCTCTATTACAAGTTGATAATCCGTGACGATCGATTGCCTGGTGATATCCTTGGCAATGCAATTAAGTAATGTTACCGGCACAGCAGCAACATCAACAGCAACAGCAGCAGCAACAGTTGTTGCCGTGTGTGCGAAATTCAAATTACATTTATTACCCACACTTTGAGCAGCTGATTTAGTACACTTATCGAGAGATCTGATTGGGTTTTTGGATCCAAACAGATCTGTGCCTTAATGTTGTTATTAGGTTTTATTAATGCTTGCGGTTTGCAGTTCCAATGACAAGCGACTTGCTTTACTATAGAGTTTCACACCCAAGCTGTTGTCCAAATCTCAGGCGCATCTGTTGCGCATTTCCAGCGAAAAACGCGGCCAGATTTCAGCGCAGCGTCTGCAATCAAAGTTTTGCCCGTTCGCCTTGCGCAGTTTCCACAGTTTTCATAGTTTTTCTTTTATTTCCCCCCTCCAATGCCCATTTCGCGCTCTCGGTCTCACACAGTGCGCAATTGACGCGTGTTGGTGATTGCCTTTGCCATAGCCTTTCCCATTTAATGGTGTCCATATGATTCACGGCACTGCGCACCAGGCCAGGTCCGGCCAGCCTAGCCTAGCCTGGCATCGCCATCGCCATCGCCAGCCGATCCGCAGATGCTTTTCGGGTTACTCAAAAATTCGTTAAATACAATTGGATTTCTTTTGGGGCTGCGCTCGCTGTCGAAGTTGATGATGTGCCTGGGCCAGTGCCAGTGCCCATGCCTCGTTGTGGAGTCGTGCCCGCGCTGGGTCTGTATCCTCCTAGGCACTCCCCCGCGGTGCGCAGCGCACTTCCAGCCAGTCAGCCAGCTAGCTAGGAAAAAAAAAACCAAAACAATTGCAATTTTCAGCTAATGCTTATTGCTGGAAATCAGTTTAGAAAAAAGCCAAAGGAGCGAGTGTATGTGGAGTCGAGCTCTCTGGAGCTCTGCTGCCCGAGTCAACTCACAGTCAGAGTCGCCACAGAGTCATCGTCACAGTCACCCGGGCTTGAACTCTCTGCGCTGTTGTCGCTGTTGTTGTTGTTGCACTCCAAAAGGTGAGTCCAGTCCACTAAAAGTCGCCTCTTTGATGAAAACTGTAAATTTACGAACTTTACTTTAATCACCAAACATGAATCGCGCACAGCATGCAGCAGCAGCATGCAGCAGGCAGCATGCAGCAGTACTGGGGCATGCAGCATGCCGCATGCAACCATAGGGAGCGAGTGAGAGAGGCAGACACCAATTGCTTGCTGTTGTTGTTGATGTTGTTATTATTTCTGCTTGAATCAAATTTAGCTAGGTTTATATAGCTGCTTAAATCTCAAGTCATTTACCAGCTATCTGTTTTGCTTATTATTTCTCTTTATCTATTTCATTCCTCTTTTGCTATCGGCTAAATTATAAAGCGCTGGACATTTTTAAAGATAATCGCAAGTAGTTAAAAATTAAATCCGCCATTCAAAACATTAACCTGTTATTTTTCTATAAAACATTTTTTAACTTATATACATAAAAACTAGGAGAAGCACTAAGTGTTTATAATATTAATATTCTTTTTTATGAAAAGGTATTATTTATTTTTATTTTATTAATATTTTTTACTATATTTATGTTTTTAAAATGTAATATTGCATGATAAGAAGTATGATAACTAAATATAAAATTTGAAAATTTATGGTAGATTTAAACCGGCGACTTCTCTCTTGTTAGTTCGAGATTTTGAATTCCTACAGTTTGAACTGTCAGGACTTATTCTTTTATATGCATATATTATATTGATTTTCATATATGACTCAATTATTGAAGGTATTCCGCCCCTTTTTAGTAGGCTCAGCTTTCGATAGTTCCTATAGCTCAACTAGAGTCTATCGATATGTGCAGCTTTCGATTATTGTTATTTGCAAAGTCTATCGATACTATCTATTTTACAGTTATTATGGCTTTTAGACCCATAAGCCCAATGACCCATAGGCCCATTGAGGTAAACAATTGATATCACATTAATTCTTTTTGTGCTCAGACACGCTGCACCGAAATATGCTACCAGCTACACGTGACCAAGTCTTAAAACTCCTGCACCCCGCGATTCTTATAAGACATATGATTTGACTCTTAACTTTTCATGTATACCCTTGCGATTTATATTCAAAATCTGTGTTTCGTGTGGTGCAATTTCGTACAGCTAGCATAAGGCCAAAAGTTGATACACATTGTAATATATTGTGTTCGCTTTAGCTAATACCTTAAATATACTAAGTAGACCTATCAAAATAAGTATCTGCTGAAGACCTTATGATAATTAATAAAAATGGACCAAAGTTATAAAAATCGAATTATTAAAATCGATAAGAACATTTGTAATTAGAATTTTAATAAAAGTAAAAGTTTTGGGATTTTAAAGGATTACCCCTTTAAACTATATTTCCCAACTGCCTCCTACAAATCGAAAGATCGCGCAGACATTAAATCTCAGGTAGAGTATACCATCTTCGGCCATATTTGGGTTAAATTTTTCATTCTTGGTTTGTTTTATTTTTATTGCCAAAGAACATTTTGAGTCGTTGCATGTTTCGAGTCGTCCCCGTCGATTGTGGCAGAAGGCAGCAGAAATATTTCTTAGCATTTCAGCATTTCAACGCATGTTGAGAGTTTTGTTAGCTGTCGTTGTATTCATGTTTTGATATGGAACGCGCCGGGATCCTCCTTTGTCCACTCCACTCGAACGGAGGGGACGACAACTGGGTGCAGGAAGGCGCTCATTGACTTTGCCCTCAAAGTTGTCATTTGGGACTGCTGTGCGGCTGCTTCCGACTGACTTCTGGCTTCGATAAGAGCGGAGCAGAGCAGAGCCCCGTTTACCAGGTTGAGATTTGGGTTCAGGCTATAGCTTCGGGGTCGCAGCATGTTGTCCAGTGTTTATTGTGGCTGCATTTTGTCTTGTTTTGTCGTACGCTGTTTTTTTTTTCTCGTTTCGGCCATACAGTTCTGGCCATTCGCGAGCTCGAGTTTTGTTTTGTTTTTGGTCTTTTATGTTTGTCAATTGGTGTTGTTGTTGCCATCTCTTTTCACTCGAGTGCCATTGTCTACTGCCCTCTCGCTCTATTTGGGACTCCTTGTGAAGCTGATAATTTATTGCATCGCTTGTGCCAAAAACGGTCGTGTGCCTGAAAACTCTTCGAGTCCCGGGCAACAACTGAATAGCCCCGTCGATATATGTGTATATATAGGTATATATATGCGGGCAGGGCAACACCTTCGCATAGCATCTGTTTGGCCAACAACCAGAACAACGCCAACAACAACAACAACCACAACTGCTGTTGCTGCTGCTTTGGTAGCCGTTGCCATTGCCCAGTGATTTGGTCACTTTGTTGATACAACTTTGTTCGGGTCTTCGTCTTATCCTTTTACCCCCACCCCTGCACCCCTCCCCTGCCCCGCTTCGCCTGCTTTATAAATGGCCAACAATGAAAACAAATGAAAAATACGTTTTGTTTTCTTTTGTTTTTCCTGTGTCGCCTGTCGCTTGGAATTAGTAACTACAAGTATGTTAAAAGGTTCATTCATGTTGCGCTTGTTCCTGCGACTTTTTGTCTACTTGCCACCTACCATATACAGTTCCCCTAACCCCTCTCATTCACCCTCACACTCTCTGCACTCGTTACCATTCGCCTGGTATCAGTTTCATTTGGCTGCTTCACGCTTTGCTCTTGTCTGTAAATTGATAGCCACCAAATAGCTGGCATATTTGACATTGACTTTAACTTCAGCCTGGTTTTGAACTCGAACTCGTTGCCGGACAATTTGTAGTCCATTCGATTTAAGTTTATTACGATTGGATGCTGTTTAAATCTCTGTCGATTCAGTGCTTCGATTTTGTTAGCTTTTAAAGTGGTTTCTAATAAAGTTAATGTTGCATGCAGACTTTTCGCTTATAGTTACTGCTATACGCAATATCATTACCAGACTTGGACTTAATTTGTGGATTATTATAATTTTGCATGGGTTGTTCATTCCGGGACTTCTCAATACCATAGCTTTCTTGCTCTACCTGCTGCCCTTCGTATGTTTTAGTAGATTGATTAAGGTTAATTCCATCATTATTATCTAGGATGTTTTGTGCTTATCTGAGCTTTAGCTTGCGTTCCTATTGGAGGATCCCGATAGAATTCAGCTGCTGGTTCAGGATTCGGATTTGTAGACTTATTGATTTGTGTAGCTCTTTTGGCTGATCCACTCTTTAACTCATTGATCTTTGGTTTTGCCGGGAAAGCGCTCCACTTATCGTAAATGGTCAATTTTAAATCGATGCGTTTCTGGGCGACAACCAAATCTTGTAGACCCTTGTCAATTACCTTTAGCTGCTCTGGAGATAAAGGCATGACGGCTTCAGTTAGTTTATGCAGCTGCGCGTTCTGAGTGCCATTCAAGTAGGCCAACTGCAGATCCAAGAAGTTGAGTTTGTTGATGGATACCTCGTGGACAGCTTTGACTAGTTCCACATTCTGCAGCTCTTGTGGCAAATCGGACTGAGAGATATTCAGGCTGCTGAAGGAGCTGTTCAGACTCGACAATCGGGGCAGCACGGCGCGTGAGATAAGCTCAGTCAGCTGTAAGAGACTATTATCAATATCCAGAGAGCTGTGGAGCAGCTCTTGCTGAAAAAAGATGATTTTTTTTTTAATGCCTTTGATTTGATCCTTAATTAGCTGCTGCTCCCGCGCCAGCAAATCAATATTGTGTACAGTACGCTCCATTTTACCATTTACTTTCGTCGTAGTGTTGTAAAGCGACTGCTGAAATTTGACAGTTTGATTTAGTGACACCAAACTAGTTCTGGTAAGCTGCAGTTGCATTGAACTAGGTTGAGGTACTTGTTCGATTTGCTCTTGCAAATTGAAGGATAACAAAGCTATATCATTCTCAATTTTGTCAAATAAATTATTGACGGGACTTAAGTCAAAAGAGCTTGGTTTCACTATATTCCGTAGCTGCTGCACGGCGGCGACTCCTTTGAGGATTTCTGTGGTTGAGCTTATGGCTGTGGTCTTTGCTGTGGTATCCTGTGCTGTTGTATTTGTGGGCTGTTTCTCAGTTGTGTTGGGCGTGACCTGTGCGCCTGTGGCAATTATGCAGCCCAGCAGTGGAATAAGTAGTAGAAAAAGTTTCATCTTGCTCTGTTTTCTTTTAAACTTTCAACTCAAATGTTTACATTGCAGCTTGTAACTGTGCTTAAATACCTTTTGACATATTTTTACTATCGGCTCTTGAGCTTTAGTAGCAATATGTAAAATGTTCTAATTTCTTTTATATATGTTTGTTTTCTTCTTCTTTATCCTTATCATTTTTGTTTGAGCGCATTTTCAAGCACGAATTCGTTGACAAGAACAGCTGCTTACTTGTTGCTGGTTGTTTCAGGTGCTTCACGTAAAATTTGCAGCAAAAATAGATTTCTTTTTGAATGAGTATTTGGCTATTAAAGAATTAAAAATCTAAGCTTTATAAATATGCTTTGTAAGTGCGTGCCTTAGGTGTCTGAGTGTCGAACCGGAATGTTAGAAGTCGCTGGCTAAAATCCAGCAGCACAGATATTAAATATATTTTTGTTATTATTTACAAAAAGCAAAGAGATAAATTAAAAAAACAAAGAAGTGGAAAATGATTGAGATGAGATGAAATGAGATGAGAATACCCAGCCGTCGCCGATTCTTCCCGACCACATCAAGATATTTTCTTTAGGCTCTTCACTATATATCTCTATATGAAAAACGATCCAATCGAAAATTAAAATTGAAATACAATAATATTATAGATTCTGTAGTATTTTCTATAAACTATTCACATCAAAGTTTTGCTACTGATGTGTAACTTTCTTTCTCTCTCTCTCTCTCTCTCTCTCTCTCTCACTCTCTTTCTATCTCTCTCTCTCTCTCTGATCTTCTTTATTTTATCATACTGGCAAAGTTATTTACTCACATTAGCCGCATTGAAGTCAACGGCAAGAACATGAGGGTCACGCTCAAAGTCAAATTTTAATGAAAAAGTGATTCATCATTTAAGCGCCGAGCATCGGGCGACATTGTTAGAGCAATTAAAAACGGGGTAAACGGGCGATCGGCTCCCTCATATCTTACAAATAGTTATTCCGTAATCGGAACTACGAGCGACCCCAAATGTGAGAATGTTACGCGGCCAGCAATAAGCGGGTCAAATTAGAATAAATAGTTATACAAACAATCAACAAGCAGAGACCCCTTTAACATGCCCGGAATGAACTGAGAAAAAGAGGGAGTTGGCTATATTGTTACAGCGAAACAGCGGTATATTGCAACAAATCAAAAAATTAAAAATAAATAAAACTGAATTGAATAATTTAGGTCAGCTATGTGAATAGCCATTGATGAGGCGACGTTGGTTGGATTCTTGAATGGGTTTGCTCGAGGGTTGCTGCCTAAGTAATTATTCATTAATTGCATGTGCGCCTAGAGGAAAACTCGTAGAAGACTCGGAAAAAAGAAAATATGTTCTCTATTAAAGTATATGAAAATATTTTGAAAATAGACACAGCACAAGTGCTGGAACTTGGCGGCCTGTGAGTCGGGTTCACTTATATGCTGGTTGACATTTAAGCCCATTAGATGAGGAACACGTAACCGCAAATAGCAGGTCGTTGGCTGTGGGTGCCTGACGGGGGGGTAGGCGGGGTTGTGGCATGGCTTGCCTGGGTGCCGCATGTCGGGGCATGCAATTATGCATTCATCTAGATTATGACACGACATGCAAGTTCCGATCGCCTTCAGTGTCTTTAGCAGCAAATGAATTTGTTCTTTGCGAGCCAGAGCAACCCATTGTTGTTGTTGTTGTTGTTGTTGTTGCAGTGGTTGTTGTTGCTGCTGCTGGTTGTTTTGATAGCACACATTTTGCTGGCGTCGTCGACGGCACGCGATTTAGCAGCGGCGCGTAATTAATCGTCAAATGAGTTTAATTGTTTATGTCTTTTATGTGAGACTCGAGGCAGGGACCCATACAATGTCGCGTTCTTCAAGTGCCTGCCCCGAGATCCCAGATAAACTCATACATATAGATTAGCCTCGCGAAAGCATGTGTATTTGGGCAGCCAAATTGGAGCAAACCGAGCAAACAGATATGAATCGGCGTTTGCTCAGGCATTATATAATCTGACATCAATATAGAGATTAGGTATCTAACAAATTTGTTTAATGTACCGAAAATCAATTGCATTAAGAAAATCAGAAAATGTTCTCATTGGTGAGAATTTTATTTCTATATGGGAGAATCTCTTAAGAATTTTATAAAATATATAAGTGACTTTATAAGAGTGTTTAATTTGAACCAAAGTAAATTGCACGCAATACAATTAATTTATATTAAAGCTCATTAGAGCTATTAATGCTTCAAGTTCATCTGCAGACTTTATTTTATTCAAATTGATTGATTAGTCCAGATTTCAATTTTGAGCAAAACAGTTTGCAATTATGTCAATTTATTTATATTAAATCTAATCAGAGCTTTTAATGCATTAAGTTTAACTACAGACTTTCTGATGAATTAGAATAAATTCTGGAATGAATTACCCAGTAAATTCTATGCAGTCAATCCAGATTTAAAATTTGTGTAAAAAAAACGAGGCTTAATAAATGTATATTAAGGCTGCGAAAGGCTTTTAGCTACTTCCGCACACTTCTCGTTGTGCTTAAGCTAGAATACGTTGTTCAATAAATTGCATGCAGTCCGTGCAATTAATATAGCTTAAGTCTTTATGGACCTTTTAAAACTCTTTTTTTATAAACAAATTTGAAGGACGTCTCCGTTGGAATTAGAAAACAATAGGAAATATCCAAAGCTTCTTTATAGAGCCACTACATATTTGTTGAGATATTATATAGTTAATTAAAATATTGGGGAACATTGTCAACAAAAAATGGAACGAATAATAAAAAACAAATTCGAATTATAACTTTTTTTTTTATAATATTTATAATAACTTGTTCATGGGGCAAGCTAATTAAAAATGAAAGAAATAACAATCAGCAGCTACAATTAAGAGCTGAAAATTAAAAATATAGCCGCAGGTTATGCAACAAATCTTCAATCTGAAAACCAAGGGCATTACCAGGGGGCTGCTGTATGCGAGGGGTTGAGGGGGATAAGGGGGCGCGAACCATACGCCGAGGTTATTCATCATCAGCCAAGTGCAACCGCTAGACAGGATGTGTTCCGGCTGGTAAATGGATAAGCTTTTTCTCTTTTTCGGGGGAGCAAGGCGGCGTCGCCTTGTTTGGCCGCTGATTAAAACAGAAACAACAAAATTAACCAAAAATTTGCATTTTAATACAAAAATGCTGCAAAACGCGACGCTACATTTTTTTGTCAAGCTCTGTTGCGGGGTGTGAAACAAAGAGAAGCTAATAATTTTATCAGTCGAAAACAGTTGACAAAATCAGCATTTTCTACGGGCTGAGGGGGGATGGTGGGGATGTAAGGGTGGGAAGCACAGTCAGGAGTTGCATCCGTTGGGCGCTGCCAACTTAAATTAACTGTAAAAGCGACCACGCAGCAAGGACATTTGTCTTGGCGCCAGGTCCAAAGGGAAACTGCAGATTTTCCGCGTGCTTTTCTTTCGATTTACAGGCAAGTGGCAGAGTGGGAGCAGTGTGGAGGGGTATGGGGGGCGAATTCTCTATGTGAAGCGTGTGCCTTTGAGATTATTAATCATCTTTTGTGCGTATCTTTCACTTTTCGTATGCCTCATTGCTGTGGCAGCGTCCCAAATGCCACTTTTGAACTTCTTTCAGCACGAATTTCCCCAACGTTTTGCATTTTAAGGAAGTTAGCTGGCAAGGACACCAGGAAATCCTTTGCTAAGAAAATGATGTTGTTTTTACTTTAGCCGCGCTTTTATTCTTGGCCTTATAATTTCAGCTTGGCTCTAATGAATTTCAATTCGTAGCGAAGCACTTGATAAATTATCAAGTTAATTAAGTTTTTTGGATGCACCCAGAAGATAAGAATGGGCTACTCTAATTTACTGTATATACACAGATAAGTGAAAAAAGTTTTGGAACATTTCAAATTTTATATTTTGATTGTATTTGTATTTATTTATTAAGTCAAATTTCGAAATGAAAGTCAAGTTGATGAAAGTAGTAAAGAAAATTAATTAATAAAATAAAAAAATATTAGGGATATGTCCAAGCCTCAAAACGAACAATTATAAGTCAAGAAAATTTGAGTTTTTATATCAAAAAAACGAAGTCTGGATTATTTATATAAAGTATTATATGGCATTTATAAGGGTATGTGAACTTTTTTTTATGGTTTATTTAAATTGTTTTGCTATAATTTATATAATATATTATATTGAGATATCTGAGTATGTGAACTTTTTAAATTATTTTTTAAATGGTTTTACCCTTATTTATATCAAATGTTATATAGGCATATCTGAAATGGTTTACTTTATTCATTGTTTATTTAATTGGTTTTACTTATAATGTCATATCTGAGTATGTGTACTTTATAAATTGTTTACAAAATAGTTTTAATATTGAAATTTTGTAATTTTATCATTTCTCTATATTTCTCACAGTCTAATAAGTTATACAATTTCAAGATCTGACAAAAGTTGCACCAGCTGTCAGCAGTCAAAGCGCCAAGAAAATTTAAAGACTATGATAATAATCATAGGAAGGAATAATTTTTGATAGAAATGGGCTCTGTTGGGAGCTCATTTAAAACGATGCCTACGACTTGCAGGAGTCTAAAAATTAAAATATTTTCCTGATGCGTTTTCATTTATTATGATTCCTGCATATGCTTTGAACTTTAAAGAAAAGGGTAGGTCAAATGTAACATACGATTTGAATAAGTTCACTGCCAGCTCAAAGACACAATTCAATGGAAAAATGTCAAAATTAATTCCAAGTTGGGCCAATCCTATGCAGTTCCTATAGCTGTGGCCGGATATGTAGGGTATATGCTTGATTTATAAGTCCGACGCATGCGCAACTACCAAATTGATCGAAAAATGCCGAGTCGTTGTTGCTGTTGTTGGGATTGTAGGTCATATGTAACATACGATTTGAATAAGTTCACTGCCAGCTCAAAGACACAATTCAATGGAAAAATGTCAAAATGAATTCCAAGTTGG